AGGGCCTCTCCCGCTGATCTCAAGGGGCGGCTGGGCATATATGGATGTAAGCGCTCCTTCAGGTAACCAGGACCCAAGCTGCTGTGTAGCGCTGCTTGGCTAGTGTCCTTCTATGGTGCAGCTGTCAATGGGAGCAGTTGTACTGATTAAGTAGCATTCTAGGAAACTAACTAATAGAGGCTGCATATAGGCTGATTTGAACACAGTTGCAAGGGATGTATAAGAGACATGGGAGACAACACAATTCAGAAACATAGAACATGTAGGGGAGGTAAGAGCATTAAATGAACTAAAATGGGAGGAGAAATATCTCTACATAGCAATGTGAACCTCTTGCTTTTTAGTGTTAGACACTTTTTGGTGTTCCTTTTCAGACCAGTTAGAGCAGGTGTACAAATTCCCCCTCCATACCCTTTAAATGTACACAAACACTCCCAACGATTATTTAAAAAAGTAATCAAGAATGACTGAACAGGATGGAGCAAATTGGGTGCGTGCACTTACAGTATTTACACCTGTAACTTTAGTTCCCCCCATTCACACTGTCCCATGTAGCTGACTTCTCGGGGTTGTTTGTGAATTATAAGGGAGATTTGTGCACATACACTGAAGTACAGTAACCACAGAATTAATTTCTCTGAAAAGTGTCCATGAAAAGCAGAGGGAATAACTCCCCTTGCTGGACTAGCTGGAAAATGTTGAAAAGGACATGGCTGCTATGAAATGTCAGCTCAGAACTTAAAATTGAGAGGATTACACTAGTAAGAGTGATATTCTCCCTGTTTTGGTGCACCGTCTGCTATTTCAACATGCCCCCCTTGTGATATTTTTCAAATGATAACTGGGCAGTTGTGCCCAAATTAGTTTAGATGTAGAATTGCCCTATCAGTTTCCATATATGTTATCTGCTGTGCTGTTCCCCTTCACAGCTGGAACATTAAAGGATATTGACGAAACAACAGTATAGTTGACAGCCACCACAGTACAAATGTTTAAGGCTGACAAAAAATTAGAATACAACTGCAATTTTCAGAAGCCTCCTTGACGGTTGGGGGTGGGGGAAACACAACAACGAATAAAAAAGCAGAAGTGATTGGAGCAGGGGATAGGAGAACAATGCACGGTGAGCTTTTTTACAGGGAATCTAGCATAACATGCAGATGCAGCAGTAGCAACTTGGTCTCTTCCCATTGCCTGACAAGAGTGCCTTTCTGAGGAGTTCTGTCCTTTTGATTTCAGGATGCTCTTAGGAAGATGCACCGGTATATACTTACTGAGAAAATCCTGTTTGCTAAAGGAAATGGGTATACTTTGAGTTATTTATTTTTGTTACATTTCTGTTCTGCCTTTTCCTTCAAGTTAGCATACCTGGTTCTCCTATTTTATCTTCACAACAGCTATGTGAGGTAGGTTAGGCGAAGAATTGGTGAGTGGTCTAAAGTTATCCAGTAAACTTGGCTGTGTGGGAACTTGAACATCTGAGTCTCATTCCACAGTACTCTGAGCACTACACTGGCCCTCTTAGTCACATTTCTTTTTGAAGCTTGTACTTAGAAAAACAATGTGGCTACCGCCTAGCCCAGTTTCAGTATTCGTCACTTATTCCTTAGTTTTAAAGAAACTGGTGAAAACATAGCTCTGCTTCAATATGCTACTTAAATGAATTGCCATAGCACATTATGCTTTAATTTTGTGTTAATTTTTTAGTACTAAAAATGTGTTAAAATGCTGTTTGTTTACTCAGAACTAGTCCATGACAAGAATATCTCAAGTACAATCCTGTGCACACTTATGTGAGAATAAGGCCCAAGAAAGAACATCACATGGTGTTCAAAGCAAACATGCATAAAATTTTCCTGGTAACATGCTGTGTGATAATATTGTAGCACTTCTATACACATTAGGCTTACATTAGGAATACTGTTCTAATTTGAAATATTGCTGGCTGAATAGAGCTTACCCGTATTCCACATTTTAAAAATATATAGTAGTTTTACCATTTGTACTAAAACATTTTGATGATGCAATACATCTAGGTTAGAAGTGTTATGTTGCACTTTCCACGTTCTTGGAAATTATGTTTGCTTTTTTTCTCCTGGAGTTAGGCTACTGAAGACCTGTTGGTTCCATAACGATAACACAGCTTGTTATTTAATAAAGAAACTTTCCAAAATATTTATGTGTTTCTATCTTGTAATTGCTATAAGACAGGAGATAATGGTAATTTAAAGAAAGCTGTTTATGAGTAGAAGATCACTTGAAACAAAACTGACTTCTATGGAATCTTGATTAGGAAGCTGCACTAGGTAACAGAGTATTACAAATACTGTAGAGTGCCAGTTCTCATTGTATGGAAGGTCTGTAGACGTGTTTATATTGCGGTAGTTCCAAAGGGGGTTTATGACTTGTCAGTTGCTGCAGTTGAGGTGTTTTCTACAACATTCCATATCACCCTTCTTGAAGACATTCTGCACAGTTAGAATTAGAATCTCTTGCACAAATGTTGGCAAAGTAAGTTCTCGTGATTGGAATTGGGGTGCATTGTGACCTACGTTATGCATGAGTCCTAGTAGCAATGAAGGGATGTCCAGATTTTAAGCCTACCATCCCCTCACTGGGTAATTTGGATAATAAGGCTTGCCAGCCTTACTGAGTGGAAAATGCTGGGAGTTGTTTCTGTCAAAATATGCATAGGATTGTGCCCTGTTTATTGCATTAGTTAAGTGACAATGGCTAAAAAACAATGCATTTTATAAAATCTACTTATAAGAAATTAAGCTAGTCCTTAAGAAAACCCCTTCAGCCATTAAATAAAGATCTTACTTTACTTAAATAAAAACCTTACATTTCTTCTTGAAAATAGCATCATGGGAATGATAAGCCAATGGAGCTGCTATTCTAAAGATGGGATCTTTATTATCACTGATCAAATATATTTCAATGATACAGGACTCTAGTAGATCCTTTCATCCCCTGCCCTTTTACTTTTTTGGAAAGCTTAGTATTTAAGCATGAACATTTAATATATGAGAAAAAGTTCATGTGCTGGGATTCTTTGAATTTTTTTGTAGGCATCACTGACTAAATGATGCATTCTTTTTACCTTGATGCTAATGTTTTATGATCAGAATGGGTTTATCCATGTAGTTGCAATTAACACATAGCTTCTAAGTGGTGCTTTCAGAATAATACTGAGGAATATGATCACCAACTCAAATGCTGGGAAGGAAGATTTTAGCATGTTGCAAAGAATTGTTCATTCTTTGAGAAGGTGAAAAATAGATTTTATGGTGAACTACATGAAATGACTTGGTGCCTAGAAAGGGGCAGTGAAAAGCTTTCAAACTGCTCCCGATGGGAGATGTCATCAGCCTCTCCCTTGATGTCCATATGTTAGGTAAACCTGTACATGCATACAAGTTTATGCTTGTAGGCTTCACTGGCCTTTGTTTCAGTGTATGCATATCAAGGGCAGGGAGATATGCAAAAAAATAGTTGCAGCGCTAGTATGGCATTGTATCTATATAGGCCTACCTTTCAAATAACTTGTGAAGAGGCCTTAAGATATTTTAATGGAAGTTTTTATTTAGGTCCCATTTCCTTAACCTATTGCACTTAAGTAATTAAGGAAGAAAGTGTGAGGGAAACAGAGCAGTGAACATTTTGTGATCATTTTCTGTAGACTTCAGAAGACAATCCGTATATTAGAGGGATATCGCATGCAGTAGATAGGTGGATGGAAACATCCTGCTTTGGGCCCATGGTTGATCTTGTCTTCATTCATCTTGTCCTCAAGAATTGCACTGTATTTAGATTTTGCTGTGGAATTCCCTTGGTCTGACATGTTATTTCTTTCAACATTGATCACAATTCACCTGCCTAACATTCTGCTGCCTCCTTTTCTGACATCCAGTCCACTGATCTGCTGGCTTTCTCCAACGTATTGCCCTCTTCCCCTTGTCACTGCCACCTGTTACTTAGATTTTGTAGTTTTCACCTTCAGTTCATATTTGCTTTACTCCTGACATGTTTGCCTTCAGCATTCTGGTTCATCATTCCATTTGATATTTTAGTTGATAAAGTGTAGCTGAATATTTCTGTGGAAGAACAAAGGATCTGTTTTGTTCACTATAACCAGTTGTCTCCACCTCCTTGGCTGCCAGTGCAGCATGTTTTATGCTTTAGCTCTTCTGAAGTAATATTTCATTGCTTAAAATTACTGCATTTTCTGGTCTATACCAGAGTACTCATTCTCTTTGACCCTTCTGCAACCTTTATTACTGTAGATCATTCTTTCCTGTTTGATTCTGTCTTTGTCCTGAGTTTCCTTTTATCATTCTTTCCGTATTTTCTAATTATGGTGTGGAAATGTTGAAAAGGGTTAGTCAATTTCTCTGCTTTTCCTCTGGTAGATTGACTCTGCTCAGTTCTTGACCATTTGCTGTTCTCTTTCTACATATTGTTTCTGGGTGACATTGCCTGATACTGTGTCTTTTAGCATCATCTGTCTATAGGATAATGAAATCCAGTTCTGCTGCTGTGCCCTAGAACTATCACCTCCCAATATCGCATTTCTAAATGCCACCCTTATTTTTTATTTTTTTAATATTGCACACTACCAATGGATGCTGTGCCCCTACGTATACCAGCCACATATAAATGGATGGGTAAACCTATCTTGTTGCAGTAATTCTCTCCAGAATGTTTATTTATTTTTCCTTTTTTCTCCCAGTGTCTGCCACATGAAAAACTACTTGAGCTACTCTTGAGTTTGAACAGTGGTTTGAGTTGAAGCATTTGTTTGTTTAATGTCCTGTTTTTTTCTTATAACAAACTCAATGCAGCTTACATCATTCTCCTGTTCTCAGTCTTATCCCCACAGCAGCAACCTTGTGAGGTAGGTTGAGGTTAGAGGCTGTGACCATCCCAACATCATCTAGTTGGCTGCATGGCCAAGCAGGGACTAGAACCCAGATTGCCTGAGTCCCAGTCCTGCATTCTTAAGCACATAATAACACTGGGGCTGCTATTCCATGCATTGATGTCCAAAGCCTCATTTGGCCTGAAGGACTAGTTGTATGGTTTCTTGGGTCCATTCCATTGATTGCTGTTGAAATGATACACACAGGCACGCTAAGAAAGCTTGGAAGTCGTCTGATACAGATAGTTGCCAGGGGATCTGTGAGCTCCTCTTTGGTCTCCCATCTCTATTTCTAGGTGTTCTCTGGACAAGAAAAGAGAAGACCAGGCCACCTATTCCTTGCAAGGTAGCAGGCTATGCTCCTTATTTTGTCATTGCTGTGGGGATTGTTGAGCTCTAATTGACCCTGCATAGCTATTGTATGATGTGAAGTATCTTGCCTGTGTAGTTTCCCCACTGAGCATAAGAATGGGGACCATGAATGAGTGATTATAACTACCTCTATAGCTCTTTAGGCAGTTTAATGACTTAATGGGAATCTTTGTCACAATGTTTAATGTCTTTGCCTTGGTGTAAGAAGTTCAAATGGTTTGATTTTGCTCCTTTTCACATGAAATGTTTGTTCCCAACATGCATTTAAACACAGATTTTTAACTGCTTACTCAAGGGCATAAATGAGGAATATCAGTTATTGTGCCACAACTCTTACTCATCACCATTAGTTATGCTGACTAGGGCTGATGAGAATTGCAGAAAGAAACATCTGGAAGGCCACACGCCCTCCAGCCCTTCTTTAGAGTAATATTTTAATATGAGTTGATGCATTCACTTTATGGAAATGAATGATGCTCTTGTCATCTGCCATCCACCCATATTTTATGAATGCCAGGAAAAGGTATGTAAATAGTTAAGACTTTGTTACTATTAAAACTGTCCTTCCATTTAGTAAAGGTATGTAGGAGAGGTCTTCAAAAAGTTTCTGCACTTTTATATTTTATAAATACATTTTATATATTTTTTGCTGATGCCATTAAAAAGTTGGTACGACCTTGGAAAAATGCATCATAAGGCAAGGTGACTATATAGAAAAGTGATGTAATTTGTTTTTGAAATTCTTAACAGAGTTTTAAAAAGTGTTGAAACTTTTTGAAGACCCCTTGTACATACTTCCATCATTCTTTTGAAGTAAATGTTTTGAATGAATTACTTTTTAATATAGTTCAGCAACAGCACAAAAAATTAGAGTTGCATAAGGACTTTGAAAGTGTACTAATTTAAGTAAAACAGTTTAATAGCTGTTCAGTAATGCAAATATAATCAATTTAAGTAGAAATTACCTTTGTTTTTAGCTATTAAGTTCTACCGTCTGGCTATGCAACTGGTCCCAGATATTGAGTTTAAAATTACCTACACCCGATCTCCAGATGGTGACAATATTGGGAAAAGCTAGTAAGTACAGTATATTTATTATTTTGAATAATGCTGGAAATGATAGTAGGCTGCACAACTTTAAACGCAGTTAAAACCCATTTCTGTGCAGTTAGGCATACTGAGTCTACTGAAAAGTGGAGGGTGGAAGGTACTTAACCTCTGCCTAGGATAAGTTTGTTATTATAGAACAAATAGTATAAAATAAAATGATCAAAGATGCTACCCTTGCAGTGACCATTTTGCACTTTAATACTTTATATTAAGTGTCTCCAAATAGTTATTATGTATCTGTTAGTTTTCAGTATGATTCTGTAATACCAGTAGTGAAAGATCCATGTCAGTATCTGTAAGATTAGAACCCAGCGTTGTGGAAGCGTTGTAGTTCTTGAATATTGCTTTTCTGCCAGATCCTAGTTTTGTGTCATGTATGAAAGGGAAATAGTAAAAGTAGCATGGAGCGTATTCATAGAAGAGCAGAAAATGACATGATATATTCAACATAAGCATACTCCAGTAAGTAAGCCAGATATTACCTATGTTATAATAAGCACAGACCTGGCTCGAATTAAGCATGTAGAAAAAGGAATGGTAGACCTCCTTTTAAGATTACATCTTAAGTGGATCGCTCAAGACAGTGCTGGACATTTGACAGAATAGGAGATTGAAAACTAATGTATAAATTCTTACTGCAGATTTAAGAGCAAAACCACAGTTAAGTAACTTAGTAATGTTACTTTAATGTGGTGCACATACCAAAGAGATTGTGGGCACTTGCAGTAACTGACACATTTTGCAACTAGATAGTGTAACTGCTTGCATAGTTCCAGTTGAAAGTTTTCCCTTTTGTGCAAGAAAGGCTCTTGAGTAGTATTTTTCCTATTATTTCTATTGCAGTAGTAGATTTAGGAAACATGATGATAAAATTAACAATTCTCCACAATCCTGACATTTATTTGGTGCTTTTGGGATTTCTTTGTGACACATTAATTCAATAATTCAGTCCAAATGTATGATTTGGCTATGAAGTTACTACATTTGATGTAGAAAATAATAAATAATACACTAAAGCAGTAGTATAAATCAGAACTAAATAGACCTTTAACTAAAAGCTATGTATCAAAGTCTAAATATGAATGCTTATTACAATAAAAAGAAGGTGATTCCATAATGTGCATTTATACTGCAACCCTATACATGTCTACACAGAAGTAAGCCGCACTGAGAATGGAACTAACCTCTCAAGTAAGTTTGTATAGGAATAGCAATCTTACACTTGGTGAAGGGATGTTGATTGACAGACTGTCTATCACCTCCAAAACCCTGCTGGCTTTTTCCAAGTGGGAGATGTTAAATAATTTGATTTTCTATATTTTCTGGTCTTCTTTTTAAACCTTCCCCAACTCCATTGAAAGCAATGGGAGAAAATTATGGCAATTTCAGTCTGACCCAGTAAATAGGACCAATCCTGGTTTCTTATAGGATAGTCAAGGAGCTTTGGATTCAGCAAGTCTAAGACTGTCCCCACTTCCATATTGTCCTGTTTTTGTGCCTAGCACTGACAGAAATAGCATGGAACTATCAAGGGTGTACTAGGAGCCTCCAGGGTGGACATGCCGCTACATTGGCATTTCTCTGTGTCACCAGATGGACACTCCCACCCTGTACTGACCTATCTTGGACAGCTGTATGAGGTGGGTTATGATTGTGTTGACTCTTGCTTAAAGTAAAGCACTTTCAAATGCAATTCTGTGTATACTTTCTTGGGAGCAATCTATTTTGAACACAGTATAATTTATAAATTTATATAGATTAGTGTTGGTTATTATTTTATAAACTAGCCATATCAGTGGCATTATCAAATACATAATATATCTATCAGAAAGGAAAAAGTTAATATGTTATCTTTTTGTATTATTAAAATAGAGAAAACAGCATCAGAAAACATAGTAGGAGCAAATAAAACCAATTATAAGAAACATTATTTAAATGCTTACCAGAATTGTACAGCTTTCACTATAGTGAAAAATGGATGGTGATGGGGTCAGAGGTACCTCTCAAGTCTATGCCATAGCTTGAGTGCCAGAATCAGTGGCTACTTCTCCATAGAGACCCAATATACCCCTGTTAGTGGGGTACCAAAAAAAAAAAAAAATAGGCTGCTGACATTGAATGCAGTTTTCAGAGACACAGGAAGAAATGATTTCTGAGATACCCTCACCCCAGTACTGGGACCCAGGGTTTTCCATATGAACCTGCTGAGAATTGTGTATCAGAGTCTGAAAGCAGTATGTTGAAGTGAGTCTGGAAACAAGTCAGAAGCCATACTTGTGGGTGTAGGATCAGTGTGATTTCTTGGCTCCACAATAGTCAACTATTGGTAGGTGTACCACTGCATGCTTAAAGCAAATGACTGAACAGTTTTTTCCCTGAATAAGGAAAGGTAAATTGTTTAGATTTTACCTTTTCTTCTGCAAAGCTTCAGTACTCATCTAGAACTAAGTTCTGCTGAATACAATGGCAGGTGGCAGTCTAAAAATTGGTAGTATCTCTAGTAGTCTAAATTAATTTTTGCTGTTCTTTCTCCCTTCTGGACCTACCAGGTGTAGTTAAAGCTTTAGTTTTCCAGTTTCTCCACTGAGTGAAAGTTAAATAAGTTGAGAATCCAACACAGACTTATAATAACAAATAACTTGTGTTTATCATTGTGCTTACATGGTATTCCTCAGGTGAAATGAGGCATGATGCACAGATATGAATAATATTTCTTTAATAAAACCAGAAAATCCACTTCAGGAGACACAATTGGATTAGAGTAGCATGAGGGTTGAGAGTGTTTAGCCCTTTCTCCATTCCTTGTCACACATTCTGATTTGTATTTCTGCTCTCACTCTCAAGTTCCAAATGCCTGCTTGTTTCTACTTCTCAACTCATGGAAGGAAAAACTGCTCGGAAGAGTTTAATTTGGCATGAGAAATGGCAGACATGGAAAAGGTTCAGCACCCTATCCTCTGTTTTTTGTTTTATTTTTGTTGCCAGTTGCTCTTCTGGAAGAATTTTTTTTTACAGAGGCTATTGAGATAATATTACTTGCATCTACATGTCATGCCTGAGTCACCCATTCTGGACCATTTGTTTAGTTATGTATTCATTAGGCATATTGATTGGATTTGTATGACATGTCATGATTTGCTAGGGCTTGTATTTATTTAAGCCACAATGAACTGCAAAACTTTCAGGTGCAATCCTGAATATTCAGTCTTCAACCTTGGAGTGTCGTACTGTGCAAACCTGGCCAGGTGAGATTATGTGAAGGTAAAACAATCCATGGCCCTTTCTAGGGATATGTAAAGTTGTTTAACTCTGTCATAACCTCTTCCCTTAGCCAGGTTCTTATGACATGGCAACTCATAGACAAGGGCTGAACAATCAGGGTGGTCCCTGTGTGTGGTATGGTTCATCATGGCTTATTTAAGCCAGAACAAGTCATAGCATGTCATGTGAATAGGCCCATTTTGTACAAGCAGTGCAAATTTGATCTTCACTTTGTAGTGGCTAGGTTAGTATACCTATCCAGTTTTGTGCTGGTTAGTCCTGTACTTGCTTACTTAAATGGAAGTTCACTGAATTCTTTGGGACCTATTTTCAAATTACAGGCATAGGCATTATCTTCCAGGAAATAAGTTCTACAGAGACCAGTGGCATTTATATCTGGCATTTACAAAGGGTTCTGTCATAGTTCCGAAAACAAAACACTTGATTATGTATTTTATTAGTTTCCTCCTTTTTCCTGCAAAATATATATAAAATGACAAGGATAATCCTTGTCATTTTACCTTCTATTCCAAAGTCATGAGGTAATCCAGAGTACCTGGATCTCCAAAATTTCCATTCATTGCTCTAACTACTGTGCCACATTACCTTTTTGGGTTTGTTGTTTGGTCTTCTTGTAAGGCTGTCATCATTTTTACTACCCTGCACAGCAGCCTGATATGCCAGAATTAAACAGATAATATTTTTATTAGCATAGAGAGAAAAATAATGGAGAAAACACTACCTGTTGTTGCTATAGGAGCAAGGCTAGTTTAAAAAAGGGGGTAACTTTCTGGTGAATAGGTAGTTTCAGTATTTGGTTTGGAGAAGCAGCATTCCCCCCCAGTATTGCACTTCAGTATTTTTCAGTCATAGAATATATAAAAATGTGCTGTTTTGGTAAATCAAGTTCAAAGTTTTAAGCATTTTCTCTATTTAGTTTACTTGAATTAACTGAAAAATACAGGATTTATGGGATCTGATAGAACTCAGACTGCACTTTGCCCAGTCTCTATAAAAATTAAAGAATTTAAATCTGTGTAGAGTATACACTATAGAATTGGGGAGTTCCTTTTGTAAAAGTGACAAATAGTTTAATTCTGAAAGTAGATGGCATATATTCAGTAACACTTCATTATCTTCAAGTAGTTTGTTGGGAACAAAATGTCAACAGTAAATAAAGAAGGGTTTTATTTTCAGAATTAAGGCTGCAATTCTAAACATTTATTTAAATAGAAATAAATCCCATTGCAAATCTCATTTAAATATATGGCCTTGAGTGTAGACTTGGTTAAGTTTTGGTTGAATTTTTTCATGTTTCATTTTTTATATTCCAGTCTCAAGTTATGTTTCTTTCTTTAGCATTGAAGATAATGAGGAGGATAGCAAGATGGCTGATCTTTTGTCCTACTTTCAGCAGCAGTTCACTCTTCAGGAATCATCCATTAAATTGTGTCAGCCTGAGCTTGAAGTGAATCAGACTCATATCTCAGGTAATGGAATTTTTCATACAAGATAGTGCGCATGTTTTGCACATGGTCATGGCATGGAGGATTTCTGTTATATTGGCTGGGCATGTGCAAATATTTGAGTCTTCTTAATTTTCTCACTGTTGCAATTGTATCCTACTGGGTTTTAACATAATAGTTTTAAATGGGCTACACTGAATTGCCCCTTCCTTTTCTCCTCCACCTCTGCAGTCCTCTGCATGTTTTCAGAATCTGTACAGAGGGTCCCCCAGCCCTGGAGATCATACCTAGAAGGCTGCATGGAAAGGGGAATCTACTCTGCTGCCAGATACCATTCTATCAGCCAGTAGGCATAATTGGATTTCACCCAATACAATAAATATATTTAGCTTAGGAAATGTATCATAAATATAGGGAACTTGTTTAAACCTAATTTTAATTATGTCATTTGTGTTCCTATATTTAATTTTATAGAATGCATTTCTTGGGTAGTATAGAAAATGATGATTAAAAGTTAGGAACAAAAGTCTGAATCTTCTGAACTTTAGTAGCTGCTGTAAAAACTTAGAAGCATAGTGAGTCAGAAAGAGCCTCCTGGACCTTCTAGTCTGACCATCTGCTCCAGCTGGTTCCACTCATGTAATACCCAACATGTGGTTGTCCAATCTTTCCTAGAACACTCTGACTCTCTCTCACCCATCACCTCCCATTCTGTATCCTAGGGATCCTAACCATCAGAAAGTACTTTCCTTTGCCCCATTGGACTACTTCCTTTCTTTTACCGCAAAGGAGAACAGGTCACAATCCTCTACCATGTTATACCCCTTCACATACCTATATGTCACTATAAGATCCCCTCTGGATCACTTAGGAGGTAGGCCCATGAAAGATGCACATGAATGAGGGGTTTGGGAAGTAACGAGTGGTATCCATTTGGATGCAGGACCCATTGCTTTTCCCTTTCTGTGTATGATCAGCTCTGCCAATTCTGCTGTACAAATACCTTCTGCCATTTGCACAACATAAAGTTAGTACTTATGGAGGCAAACCATGAAGCAAATCAAAATACTTTTCCCTTTGTCGTTTCTGGAACAGGCAGGTCAGCTGAGCCCCCTTATGTGAGCTCTGTTGGTCTGCCCAATGTTTTCACTCATTTCAGGTGGCTAATGGAAGCACTGAATCGTGGTGGGTGCTGCTTGTTGAACATAGTTGCTGGGGCTGGCTGCTCATTAGCAGTCACTAATGGATTCTCTCCAAAATTTGAAGTCTGGTTCACATATAAGGAAAATTAACTCCCTTTGCTGTGTTGTTGTTGCTAGTCGTGAAGTCGCATCCGACCCATCGCGACCCCGTGGACATTCCTCCAGGCCCTCCTGTCCTCCACCATTCCCCAGAGTCCACTTAAGCTCCCACCAAGTGCTTCAGTGAGTCCATCTAGCCACCTCATCCTCTGCCATCCCCTTCTTCTTTTGCCGTCAATTGTTCCCAGCATTAGGGTCTTCTCCGTTGAGTCCTTCCTTCTTGTTATGTGGCCAAAGTATTTGAGTTTCATCTTCAGTATCTGGCCTTCTAAAGAGTCAGGGTTGATCTCCTCTAGGACTGACTGGTTTAATCTCCTTGCAGTCCAGCACCACAATTCAAAGGCCTCAGTTCTTCGGGGCTCAGTCTTCCTTATGGTTCATACAGCCATACATTGCAACAGGAAAACTGTAGCCTTGAGTATACGCACTTTTGTTGGCAGGGTGGTGTCTCTGCTTTTTAGTACGCTGTCTAGATTTGCCATAGCAAACGTCTTTTAATTTCTTGGCTGCAGTCCCTGTCTGTGGTGATCTTGGAGTCTAAGAAAATAAAATCTGTCATTACCCCATTTCTTCCCCATCTACAAGTATTTGCCAGGTTGTGGTAGGACCAGATGCCACGATCTAAGTTTTCTTAATGTTGAGTTTCAAGCCAACTTTTGTGCTCTTCTCCTTTACCCGCAACAAGAGACTCTTTAGTACAGGAGGTTAAACAGTCCGTAGAAAAATAGGTTTTAGAGCAAACATACTCTCCTTAATTGTAACCAAAAAGAATGATGTCTTTAAAAGGCATCCCCAACATGACACACAGGGGTACCCTCAGTGGCACCTGCATAGCTCTTCACTTCCTTGGTTGTTTGTTTGTTGGTTTTTTTTTAGGTGGGGGGTGGTTTAATGCAAAATTGAAAATCATGAGGGCATGAGGTTCTTCTTCCTGTTCTGACATTTGCTGCTGTTCACCAGGCAAGAAGGAAAAGCAAAGCAAAGGGGGAGTAGGGAAGAGAAGCCAGTAAAGAGAGAGCAGCAAAGTAAATACGTGGATAAGATAGAAATAGCAGGGCTAGAGGCTGACAGTGGAGAGAAGGCGCAAGATAAATTGGTGGATAAGAGAGAAAAAGCAAGGCTATTGGCTAGAAAGGATGGAGAAGGGAGGGAAATACTGAGGAAAGGGGCTGGGGAAATAGAAAAAGTTGCTTCCTGGGCCATCCATTCTTCTTCCATCCACACAGATCTTTTCCTTTTGCGTGTGCTCTCTTTTCATTCCCAGCTTTTTGCCTTGTTATTACTTACCTGCCTCAACTCTCCAGGCTCCCGTGGTAGTCATTATGTGATTAGCCACACATCAGTGAGAGCCATTTTGCGCTGGTGCCCGAATTTCAAAATGTGTCCACTGGTCTAGAAAACTTGAAGATGTCTTGTATTAAAATGTTGTACAACATGATATCAACAAGTTGAATATTTTTGACAATTCCCGAAGTTCCATCAGCTACTCAATATTATATTTACAGTTTACTGTTTGTTTATTTTTCCGTAGTGTTGCCTATGGAGCTGCTAATGTATATTTTCCGATGGGTGGTTTCCAGTGATCTGGACCTGCGGTCTTTAGAACAGTTATCATTGGTCTGCAGAGGTTTTTATATTTGTGCCAGGTACAGTTAAAACTATTATGCTAGAAATGTTGTCACATAAATATTAGGTTGGAATAAATTGGGCATTTGACTGTTCCAAAAAAGATTTGAGTAATTAAAGTCAAATATATCTAAGTATTAATTTAATCAGAACAACAAAAAGGGTACTTTAATCATCAACAGGTGTGATATATATGTTAATTACCAAAACAATTTAACTATTATAAAATAGTGCATTTTAAAAACAGATATTATAAAGAATTCTTGTAACTTTATTAGCTGTAAATATGAAGAATTCTTTGAACATTATTTCTCTTCACCTTTTATCCTGGCAAACTTGGGTCAGCATGTCATTTCACAAGCTTTAAAATGGAAATTAAAACAGTGAAAACAAAATTACAGTGAATATTAGGGGAGAGAAAAGAAAAGAATGTGAATAACATTTATTATGGTATAAGCTTTTGTGGACTAGAATCCACTTCATAAGAGGAATGAAGTGGTGCCTTAAGTTGGCAGATGTATACACATATGGTTGGGAATAGGTATGGAGTTGGATCAGAGGGAAATGAAACACAGTTGTGTAAAGTAGATAGCAGACTAGTTCTTATTTGTGGTTCTTGTGCAATACACATACGGATTCTGCACCTTTGTGGCGCCTGTGTTTGGGAACTTTCCACAGCTGGGAAAGTTTATGCAGGAATACTCCCACCCCACCTTTAGCATCAGTTTATTAGAGCAGTTCCTGCCTATTCCCTAAGTTCTTCTTCAACTACTACTGTGATGCCTTGGGAAGTTTGTCCATGTAGGTTTACTAGCTGATCTTTGCATTTTTTTCCTTGTGCTTTTGTGTGCCTTTTTGTCTATGTTCTTATGACTATTCTTTCACTCCTTTTTTGCACCAACCTTTTGTCATCTCATAAAATACCCAGAACGAAGACATTACAGGGAGTTGATTCCTCTAAGTCTGTGGAGAAGGAACAGCTGTTCACTTTGTGTGCCCCAGCCTTAACTTCCAACCATGCCTGCTTTGGTCAGAGCTTTAACCATGGGCCAGACCACTGCAATGACTGGGTATTCTCTGAAAGTGTCCAAGGCCAAGAAGTTGGTAAAGAGGGCTAAAGCACACATTTGGCAGAAGCTGCAAAATTGAAGGGCTGTAAGTGGCACTCAAAGAGATACAAGTCTAATCTACTTGGGAAGAACTACAGCTACCAAGCACTCCCATATCTGACTCCACAGTACCAAGGCAGGAACCAATCCAAGCAACTTTGGTATTGGACAGTGAGATCCAAAATAAATCACCACTAACACTGGCTTGTCCTCCTTTTGAAGCCTCAGTATCATGCTGGATGGGCACCATCTCTCCAAGTACCTTCGTCCACCAACTTCTAGGCATCTGGAAAATATGTACAGAGTTGTGGCCTCTGTGTTCCAGCAACCTTGACCAAATTCTGGGCATCCTTGAGTCGGCCCAGGGAAGGTCATACCAAGAGTACTCTGCTGCTGCCTGGATCTGATGGGAAGGTGCATATACTCCTTTGGGAACATGAATAGTGAACTACCAAACTACCATGTTCTTCTGCAGAAAATTTTCTCCTTTTGTGACTATCTATCAGAAGACCAAAGAGAGCTTACCAGGCTGGGTCAGGCAGAAGCCATGTACCTTTCTTGTAAGCAGATCAACACAGCCAAGCAGCAGGCTGATTGTAACACAGAAATAATGAACCCAGCAGTGATGCTCAGGAAGCAGTCTTGGTCATGCTCTGCTAGTCTATCACAAAAGACCTGCTCCTGAATCGAAGACCAACCATTTGATGGGGAGGGGCTCTTCAGTTTGAAGAGCAATGAACAAATGGATTCAGTTCAAAAGACGCTATGAGGAGGATGGGATTCAAGCAGCATCTGCTGTCAAAACCCCATAAGTAGTTCTGCTTGAATCTACCTGTTTTCCACCCCAGGGCTAGGCAAACCACTCGTCTTAGCAGCAGTTGCACAGGGGTTTGACTAGCACATACCAGCAAGGGCAAAGGCAGGCCCCTTCTATCATCCCCCGTTTTTGACAGCCAATTATCTCTCTCCCTTCCCACATGAGAAACAATAATATCAGGTCCTTTCTATTAGGGAATGGGGATACAGAATTGAGTTTGATTCCCTCCTGGCTCTCGGTATAATAAGGAGTACTGATCCAGTCACAGTCTTAATTATGGAAGTAGACTCATTTTGAAGGGAGCTATGTAATACAGCTCTCCATCTTAACTTAAGATGGTTTCTAATACTGATACTTTATGGTACCAAAGTGGAATGGAGGGCTTTGACTGATCCTGGATCTCCAGGATGTTTTCTTCATCATGCTGAGGAAATTCCGTATGGTCACTGCAGAACATTCTGCCCTTGCTGCATGAAGGAGATTAGTTTGCCTTGAAAGATTTGAATGACACTTATTTCCACATCTCCATTGAGGATTTATAAAAGCATTTCCTGTGTTAAGTTGGAAAAGAGGCTTTTCAATGTTCTCTTTTACCATTCAACTGTCCACAGCCTCAGGACTCTTCACGAAGTATATCACGGTAGTCTGTGCCCACTTATGCCTGCAAGGAGTCCAGGTTTACCTGTTCCTGGATGATTGGCTGATTGTGACACCATTTAAATGAAACTCACTTTCTTCCACTGATACTGCCTGCACTTTATTGAATAAGTTGCGATTTGTATAAACTTTGAAAATTCCCTCTCAGTCCATTCCTTTTATTGTGGCCTGCCATAGCTTGAGTTCAGCAAAAGTGTATCTCCCAGAATCTAGAGTGTTCGTTCTATTCAAGATGGCCCTGCTGTCACTGCTTTCCAGTTTCAGTGGCTCCTTGGTCTCATGGCAGGAATAGTCATAGCAGTGTTGCTAGCCAGGCTCCGGATAAGCTGTGGTTATCCATGCATACCATTCCATGGATGATCCTTGACATACTTGTCTCTAGATTCTGACTTCCAGATGAGTCTCAATTGGTGGACGTGTTGGAACAACCTCACCAAGGGGATTCTCTTTTCTCCCCACAAGCCTGGATGCAAAGTGACCACACATAGCATCTTTGTCTCTATGGGGAGCCTCTGTGGTTCTCTGGAAATCCAAGGGACATGGAATGAGTTCAAAGCCTGCAAGCATGGGAATCATCTGGAAGTGCTTGCAGTGAAGAAAGCTCTGCAACATTTCAAACTTTACTCTTTCATCACCATGTCCAGATTGCCCATACAATGCCACTATGGTCTTCTGTACCAACAAACAGGGAGATAAACAGTCTATCCTCTGGCCTTGTCTAACCATTAGGATCTGGACTTTGTGTGTCAATAGGAGAGACCTAATTTTTTCCAGTAAAAGAGTAAGTTCTACCAAGATCCTGTGACACAAAATAGAGTTTTTCTCTCCTTTGCATCAGTCTTTATTGATGCATGATAAAACAAGTCATCCTCTTCTTCAGATGCCCATTGTCCATCTGTGTCTACCCAGTAGCCATTTCAGCCTTCCATGTACTAATCCAGAGCTCATCTTTTCCCCCACTCTCTCTCTCTCTCTCTCTCTCTCTCAATATGTTCTCTGGGGACTCAGAATCACTCTACCCGCTGTGTCTCTTAACACCTAGTTGGAGTCTTATCTGTCATGTTGCAGGCCATTAAAAAGAAACTGCTTGAATCCATGGTAACAGCCCTATCCATGACCTATCTCTGCTGTTCTGGAAGGTTACTGTTCTCAGGGTTGCTTTACTTTAGCCCAGTGCTCTAGTGAAATTTGAGCCCTCAGGGGGTTCCCCCAGATCCTCCGTATCTGGTCTTCCATAGAGACAAAGTGGTGCTGCACCCACACTCCTCTTTCCACCCTATTTTTTCCAATTTTCATATCAACCAGGACATTGTATTGCAAGCCTTTTGTGCTTCCTTGTCAAATCTGATGATGCCAGCATTGTATATTCTGGATGTTCATTGAGCTATGGTATTCTACCATTCCAGGATGGGATCATTCCATTGGTTTTACAGTGGCAAAAATAAAGAATTCTTCCTGTGTCATAGGCTGGCAGCCTGAGTGATACAGACTAACTCTTTCTTTGGCTTATGAACTGGTCACCCTAAAGGTCTTGAGACCATTAAAGGCTCACTCAAAGGAAGTGATAGCAACTTCTACTGCTCTGCACATTGGAATTCCTCTACCACACCTCTGCAAGAGGTAGACTAAGAGGTACTTGGTCTACTGAACTGACTTTTGTGAAATGCTACAGGCTCAATGTCCATGCCAGAGAAGATTGTGCTTTTGGGAGAGCAGTCCTCTCTTTCCAATAATGGTACCAATGCCCCTGCAGGAAGACGAGTTTGCTATTAACCCATATGTGTGATGTATGGAGGCCAAGAGGAAGACAGGCAAGTTGCTTACCTGTACATATTGTTCTTCACGTGGTCATCTGTGCATTCCTGCAACCCACCCACTGTCCCTGCTTCGGTGAAATACGGTAACATATTTTCTTGATACACACTTAACTGGGTTCAACTGATGTTGAAGCAAGCCTATCAGTTCCTCCCTCTGTCCTGAGGCCACAATGTTGGTCTCTAGTGAACTGAGGGAATGGGTGAGAACCCTTTTAATATGCCAAAGGTAGGGGAAGAAAACTTTCTCTTGCCAAAACTCTTGTCAGCGGTGGAAACTTCCACAGGACCCATATGTGTGACTGCACAGAAGACAGCTTGAAGAGCAACAGTTAAAGGTAAGAAATGTGCCTTTCTTCAGGCAGCATCAAATTCAGTTTTCTAGTTCTTGCAAAAACACTATATGAGTCTTTGGCAGTTTGACATCGTTTGGTGATTCGTGCAATTATACAACATAGTCAGCAAGAGAAGCTTTTGTGTTGCAGGTCTTATCCTTGCTAATGATTAGAAAAGATAAACTGCCACCTATATAGTGGCATTATTGGCTTCATAGAGTATTTGATCATATTGATTACAATTAAGTCATAGCAGCTGTGCATACAGTTGGATTTTATACCAATCGTAGATTAAATACATTGATAGAACAATCTATCAATCTATATCTATCTATACTTATACACAGAAGGACAATGTTCATATTGTCCTTCTGTGTCTATGTACATAGTCAAACCTTGTAGTACAGGATAGTTGTAAAGTCCCTTCAAACACTGAATGTAAGTTACATTCTGAGGCTGGATCTTAACATGTAGCAGAATATGTGAGAATGAGCAGTTCTAATACATACTACAGTTACAGATCTTGTTTTACAATAAGCTGTTAGAATGAAAGTAGAACTCTTATACAGGAGGAAGTGGGCTAAGCTAGAACCTTTCTCCATGATATGCTAGTTGTTTTACCGACTGGACTTTTGCACATGGGAAGTGTTCAGAATGTCATCCACCAAATTTTACTTCATCTGTAGAATAAAGTTGAGTCTTAAGGACTAAAAAAAATATCCTGTGCTACATGCCATTTTCCTGAACTTTACTTTTGTGTAAAGGCACAGGTACCTTCACCACTGCTCATAGATATAATTTTAAGCATCTGGTTGGATAGCCTAAAATGGATTGATAGATACTTTGGTGGGGGTCAGACAACATCACAAGCCATGGTGTATGTGTGTGCGTGTGCGCGTTTACCATTGCCGGTCTGTCCTGTTGTCCAAAATCAGTCATAGTATTTCACTATGGTAAGTTTGGACTTTAGAAACCATAATAAAAATGGGGTTTTGCATGACACCATGGCTTGCTGTGTTGTCCAGTCATGTTTTCCATTCTCCTGGTATATGACATCCCTTCAGAAGAGTGGCAACAGCAAGAGCTGCTTCAGCTATCCAGCTCTACTGTTCTTTCTCTGTCTGGTAACAGACTTCCAGTGAGGAAGAGGTAGGTAACATAGGCAGCAATTGCATTTCAGGGACTGTGGCTGATCAGAAATATGCCAACAGTAGCAAAACTGAATGGGGAGGTCAGAGACTACAATAATACAGAAACTATTTGAATATCTGTTGGGTAGATCATGCTAAAAAAGTGAACTTTAGTAACCATGCAGGGTAGTTTGTTGTGTGAACACAGTCATGGAGTAAAGTAACAGCTATGTTACTGTGAGGAAAATATGTCTTACCTAATGAATTACAACATTAATTCACCTCTGCACCAAGTCTTTTCTTCCCTGTTCTAGGGTTCATGTATGCCTTGATATTTGAGTAGAGGTCTGTACATTCAGATTATGCCATTTTTTTTTACCAGGGACCCTGAAATCTGGCGTCAGGCCTGTCTGAAGGTTTGGGGAAGAACCTGTAACAAAGTGGTTCCTTACACCTCATGGAGGGAAATGTTTTTGAAAAGGCCCAGAGTTCGATTTGATGGTAAGACAAAGAGATGTTGAACTATTAGCCAAGAAAAACAGTACCTTGGTAACTGGAACTATTCTTCCTGTCTGATTTCAAATAAAAGTTAGTGTAATATGGTAACTCATCAGCTACTATATGTCAGGAATGTTTTCATTATTGGTATGCCTAAGGAGCTAAATAACTTGGAAAACTCAAATTGAAATGATTGACTGGTGAGACTATGTCTTGTGTCTGCCATGCTGTTCTCATATGACTAGAGTAATCTTCTGTTGATAGAAAAGTCAGCTGCTAGTGTTGCAGTCATGACAGAGGGATTACATTTCTCAGTGGCCTAAATGGCAGTGCCTTAGAACAGTGAGTCATGGAACCAACCAGAGGAGGATAACCTGGATTTTATCCTATATGATGTTATTGAGGACTTGATACAAGACTGTGAATGTATTTGATCTAATTGGAAACAGTGACCATAGTGCTATCAGGTTTAATATATACAGTAGTCCCCTAAAATTTGTGGGGTTTACGTTCCTAAAGCACCCGCGAATTGTGAAAAACCGTGAATTTGGTGCTGGCAATGGTCGCCGGCCGACAAGGCGATGTGGGTGGGAGGCACAGGCTGGGCAGGGCTGGGGGGGTGGGCGCGCAGGCGAGGCAGGGGCAGGCGCATGCAGAGATCGTTTTCTTTGAGCAACTCCAAACTCAGAGAAAACGATCTCCTTGTGAGTAAGCCGCTGCATGGCGAGGCACTGGCTTGCTCACAAGGAGATCGGCTTGGACTCGCTTGGAGAAAAATCCCACAAAAGACTGAAGCCAGGGGTATACTGTATTTAAGTGGAAAATTATTGAGCAAATTCAATGTAGTCACACTTGACTTCAGGAGAGGAAACTTCTCTAAAATGAGAGAACTAGAAAAAGAAAGGTGAAAAGGGAAGTCCAAAGGACTAAGTCCATTCAAAATCCTTGGAGGGCACTCAAAACCACAATAATAAAAGCTCAGCTGGAATGTATAGCACAGGTTAACAAAGGTGGCACCCAGTGGTCATTGGTATGGTTAACAGGTAGGGCTCTGGAAGCTATTGGAGAAATAAGGTTTCCTTCAGAAAATGTAAGCCTTTCTAAATAATGAAAATTAAAGGGAGCTTGCAAAAAGAAGGTGCAGGGCATGCAAAAAAGCAATTTGAAGAGTATGCTGCTGAAAAAACAAAACTAAGTATATCAGAAATAGGAAACAAGCTTGGGAAGCTGGAGGAAACATCAGATGATGGTGGAGTTAAAGGAATACCAAAGAAAGATAAGCAGATTGCAGAGAAACTGCATAACTTCTTTTCATCTGTCTTCATTGCAGAAGATGTAGAACAGATAACCTGTGTCTGAACTGATGTTTTCAGAGAGGGAGTCTGAAGAACAAGCTAATAGTGGGGGCCGCAAAAGATGAAGTTCTCCACCTTATTGACAAAATGACCTGGTTTACATGACATGACACCCCATCATAGCGAAGTGGGTTGTCATTTCATCCAAACTCAGACTGCTTTCTGCATGTTGGCTTATTTATTGGCAGTAACCCACATAATGTTTTAGATGTCAGTTTTTCCTGCCAAACAAACTATAGATGCAAAGAGTAAGAAGTGTTTGGAAGACCTTTCCTTCCCCTAACTGATAAAAATGTTGGATGTGGATTTCTGGATTGGGTATATGATCAGAAAACAGGTGGGATGGGACAGATTTTAGGCAAATCTAAATATGCAACAGAATGAGGTATAAATAAGATTGCAAAATGGATTGTATTGCTTCATATGAGAAGGACCACTTTTAAATGCACCCCTATTCATAATAGTTTTGAAACTTCCTGAAAATGAAAAACCTGCTTGGCTGGCACATGATTAAACTAGCAACTTACTCTCTGATGTGCTGGCTTTCTATTTGTAGTGTGCAGGATTGGGTAAGTTAACATAAAAGAACTCATTATGTTAACTGTTGTAAACCACCCAGAGATGTTTGACTATTAGGCAGTATAAAAATGAAATAATAAATTCACAGTGGTTGGCATGTTGTCTGAACCTGACAGTGCAAATTCATCATGGTTTGCAGGATTCAGCTAGTTAGTTCCTCAGCAAGAGTGGAAAAAACCCTTGCTGCTTTTTGCAATTTCACTGTTGCCATTGACAGCCATTCCACTGCTGCTGAAGGAGCACTTTGGAGCAGCTGTCATGGGTATGCCCTTGTTTTATTGTTCAGGTGTAGAAAATTACACAATTGTTAGTATTATTGTGTTCATTCAAGTGGCCTTGCCTGGTCAGTGTCCTTGTATGTATCATCTGGTAAAGGAGCTTGAAGTAGAGAAGGTAGCATACATGGAAAATGATAAGTCATGCCTTTTTGAGACCTAAATTTTTCCAGTAAAAGAGTACAGTTGCACATAAGAGATAGGCATCAGTAATACTCCACAACATAAAAGGGGAAAATTTGTGTGAACGATATATGGAGTCTAGTTAACCCCATGTTTTCCAAACATAAAAATATTGTGCTGTTGGCATACAGGTAACATGATCATAACAGCTACTCAGCTGGTGTCAGCAGTGGCGAGCCCTAGCAGTTTTGAGGCTACCTGACTTCTAGTTGTGTCCTTACACTCACCCAAATTTTGATCAACCCCAGACCCAGGTCAACCAGGAAGAGACATTTTTAGATATGTGTATCACTGGCTTGCTCAGTTTCTAAACCACATAGACATTTAAACCAGATATGTGAGGGGAAATTTGGAGATGGAAACATCTGTGGCCGTTTCTTTTTATATTTTCTGGAAGCCACTTAGAAAGCTTCTTGTTGGTGCATGACATACAAATGCTGTAAATAAAGAAATAAATGTGTTTGGAAGTCTGTATGGAGACTACCAGGTCATGGATGGCTAAACCGCCTTAGTAATATACTAATGAATGACCTAAGGATTTAAATTTTTGTTCTAGGTTGCATTGAGGAAATGAGAATAGCGCATTTCTTTGGTAAATAACTAACAAATATCAAGTCTTTTTTGAAAGCCAGAAGTACAGCTGTCCACATGTCTGAATCCTTGAGTAAGGATTTTCTCGTTTGGGTTTTGTGTCTCCCCTCTCCCAACTTATTACTTAAAGCCAGGCTTTTCTTTACTGATTCCTTAACTAGCAAAACACTGGTGAAAACTTTTTCAGCTCTACTTTATCTAGAAATGTGATTTTCATTTGCAAGCTATTATTTGGCCTAGATTTTGAGCTTCATATTTATATGTCAGTTTCAGAAAAATATGTTTTGGAATCGCAGCACAGCCATCATTTTATGATACCCTTCACAGGTTTGGATGGTATATACAGCCTTACTGGGTATCTTCCACTGAATGGCACTAATTGTTTACCAGTTGTAACATTCATGTAGTACTTATATGGAATGAAGCTCTGTGGAACAAAATGGACCCCCCCCCCAAAGCCCCATTAGCACATTTTATGTAAAATGATAGCTATTATGGGGCGGGGGAAAGCATTTTGCTGAACCGCAAAGCAAGTTCTTATAAGAAGAAAGTGCTTTAAACATTCATGTTTTTTAAAGGAATTTTGGGAACCTGTAAGGTATTGTTGATAATGTTTGTTTGAATATTAAGGGAAGTGAGAAAAACTTTTCCCTCCTTTCATTCCTCTATGCTCCTTTCTTTCATGAAATGGACAAAACATGTTCTGGGCTAAACATCTATCAACATGGGGTAAAGTCCAGTGGAAGTCCTACTTGGTGTAAACTTATTAATATAAATGAGCCCCATTCTTTTCAGTGGATCTGTTATAAGTAGGATTTATGGATAAAATAAGTAGGATTTTATCCATGACAAGTATCTAATAACTTCAAATAGCGATTGGTAGGGGCATTTGAGACATAGCACTTTACATGCATGGTTTTCAGTTATCTCTGAAAAAGAGTAGAATTAACTCCAAAGCTATAAGGATAAAAATACAGTTTTTTCACTAGATTAAGGAATTCAGAGGACTGAAGACACACATTACATTTTATACATCATGGTCAAGGACTAGCTGGGAAAAGGGAATTGTGGAAGACACAAACATTTTCTTAATCTTTTTGGTGTTGTTGGGGTACAGTTTGTCCCGTCTATCTTTAGAAGGTTAGCTGTGACTTAATTACAGTGCTTGGAGCTGTGGCCTATAAATTAATTACACAGGAAGTTGAAGATCATTGTGTTATCTCTATGAGAAATCCTGTTGGTTTGTAAGTGTTTTTTATGAATATATATAATTAGACATTTAAAACATCCTCAATAAATACAGTATTAACTGAAAACTTGAAGGTTCATAAGTGTACGGATGATTATATATGCCTTTTATTCCATATTTTATAGGCGTGTATATCAGCAAGACAACATACATACGTCAAGGAGAACAGTCTCTTGATGGCTTCTATAGGGCATGGCACCAAGTGGATTATTACAGGTACAGACATTGAAAAATGACTGAGTTAGGTATTTCTCTTTCCTTTCTTCTTTCCAGATGCTATTCTCAAATAATCATACTGCTGTAAGCACAAGCATAGTGAAATAATTTGGAATTTCATTGGACTACTTGTAAGAAGCCGTGATGAACGTTTTGCACACAAGACCTGGAATCTTATTCTCTCAAATTAAAGTCTTAGTTCCAGAGTTATGATTCTATTTTCAGATGTGGTCCAGATTGTGAAAATATTTAAATTTCATATTTCACACTGTGAATGTTTCTGTGATTTGCAAGCTACAAGCAAGCATACAAAACTGATCTAGAATATGCATGCTGAAGTGTAAGACAGGTGCCTTTCGATCAGAATCTGAATTTTCTTGTTGAGATATCTGATTACACTATTGGGATGTTTCCAGCAGCACCAAATGAATCTCCACTCTTCATAAAGTTTGCTGAACCACAGTATTTCCTACATTCCTTGGTGACCTAGTATGTTAAGTGAGGCTACAAAGGCCTTTTCCTGGACTTAGATCCCCATCTCTCATCCACATGTCTCCCACAAGCTTTTTCTAACATTAGGAAGCAATCTCTGAAGCTACATGACAAACTAATTGAAAGAGGATATAAAGCAAGCTCAGTTATCACGTAGAAACATTTGACTGCAAGTGCAGGGCCCTTTGACTCCCTGCCCTTGTAACTTGTACATTAATATATGTTTTTAATTAGGAAAATACATCTTGGAAAGTTTGTTTAGAATTAGTTGTTGGTTTGTTTATAGGTAGTTTGGGGTGAGAATAGGTTTGGATTTTTTTGAACTTTTTTGTGAACAGTGCCATAAAAGGGGATGGGATGCTTTTCTCCACTTAATGTTTCTTAATTTTGTAGGTACCTGAGATTCTTCCCTGATGGCCAAGTAATGATGCTAACAACTCCGGAAGAACCTCAGTCTATTGTTCCTCGTTTACGAACTAAAAACACAAGGTGTGTTCAACTTATGAATAATATAAATTCATCTTTCATGTGTTGAAAAGTGTACCTAGCACTTTTAATAAAGTTTTAAAGTTAGGCATGAACAATAAAACTGTGGAGCCATTACAGAAACAAGGGATACTAAAATACAAATTAATCAAATGGTTTAAAGCTGCAGATCCAGGTTCTCTAAGTAAGTCTGAGACTTAGATCCAGACTTAGTTGTACTTGGAGCATGTTAGTCATAACTAATCTGCTCTATTGATTTCAGTTGTGTTTCAGTTGAGTTCTATTGTGTTTACTCTAGCTATAACTAAGAGCCAGTGTGGCGTGGTGGTTCAGAGTACTGAACTGGGAACCCAGCAGATCTAAGTTCTAGTCCCAATTTGGCCATGAGGCTCACTGAGTGACTCTGAGTCAGTCACTCTCAGCCTCTTCTACCTCTCAGGGTGGTTGCTAGGATAAGACAGAGATTTGTAAAACCACATATCAGTACAATGTAATAAGAAATTTTAAGTCTTTATCCAGAAAAGTATCTTTAAATTACTTTCAGCTCCTGGAGGAGTATATTTTAATGGAGTTTTTTTTCCTTCTAAATATTAGAACTGATGCAATCCTGCTTGGCCACTATCGCCTTTCCCAGGATACGGACAATCAAACCAAAGTATTTGCTGTAATGACAAAGAAGAAGGAAGAGGTAACTATAGAAGAAAGAAAAGAGAGCTGAAGTATTGATTAATACTTAAAGTGATGCGAAACCCACCTGGACTGGACTCTTACACTTGCCAGACTTCTTTCCTGCACTGGGACCTGGCCTAGGAGTGAGCTGAGCCATGATCAAATTGGCAAATACAGACAAACTCTAGCAGGCTCCTTCAAATTCTCCCACTAAGTGTGCAGTCCCCATGTGCTAAGCAGCCTGAGACCAGTGCTGTGTGCAAAAATGCACTTTTCACCACTGCTTACAGAATGGCCCGGTGCCTGCAGACAATGTGCATGCACAGCCTCCATGCTCACCTCACAGTGCACAAAGGCATTCTCTGCTGTTGCCTATGTAGCACCTGCATGGGTTTGTGTACATAAATGCTGCTGTGATTATGTGGGTGCAGGCGCTTCATGTGGGTGCAGAGACAGGGATGTGAATGGATTTCCTCCTCCTCTGGCCAGCATCCACTGCCCTGCTCTGAAAAAATAGGCGGTGCCTCCCTGCCTGTCCTTTGGCAAAACCACCCTCTTCCTGTGCAGTAAGCAAGATTTTTCACAAAGCCCACAAAAGATGTGCATGCAATTAAATCAGCTTGCACAGCACTTTTTTTTAAATTTATATCCTGCCTTTTTCCTACAAAGGGCTCAAGGCAGCTTACATCATTCTCCTCCTCCATCTTATCCCCACAACAACAACCCTGTGAGGCAGGTTGGGCTGAGAGTCTGTGACTGGCCCAAAGTCACCCAGTTGGCTCCATGGCCAAATGGGGACTAGAACCCAGATTGCCTGAGTCCCAGTCCCATGCTCTTAACCACTGCGCCACACTGGCTCTCTGAACCACTACACCACACTGGCTCTACAGCACACATGCTCTTAACCATTACACCACACTGGCTGACATTTGTCACATACACAAAGCCCACAAGTAACACGTGTGGAAGCTGAACTCTCCTTGTGCAGCAGGTGCATGGGCAGTGTGTGCACAAACCAGTCTTGCTAGTTATACCTGTGCAACAGTTGGACTCACTTCCTAACCAGACACTCGTGCAGATATTTGACATGGGTCAGGGCAGAGAGATAGGTGGCTGGAGGCTGGGGAGCTGTGCTGAGAAAATTCAGTGGATTCCAATCCCCAGATCACGTTTCTCACACATTGCTAAATGCAGCAAAAAACAAACACAAAAAGTAAATGCTTGTATGCCTGTCTCCTGAATTAAATTTCTTAATAAAAATGAAATATATGTCATTTAGTCCTACAGAAACATTTCAATTCCTTTAAAAAAAACCCTCTCCTAAATTTATACAGTTTTGATTACTTCTTAAAAGGAAACTCCCTCGTGGCATAATTCTGCTTTTTAAATGTGGAAGGGTTAAATAGCAATTGGAAGGCTTCTTTGAGGGAAGTTGTCCATGAGATTTCCAGGAGATGAGTAGATAAAAAGTTACTGGATATATCCGTGGATTGTACCTCATCATTGTAACATCTCTGTTTCCTGATTTGTTCATTTAGAAAGAGGAATGAATAGAAATAGAGAAGTTCTTTTATGTCAACATTTCAGGGCAAGGAAGGGAAGAATGTTGAGATTGTGGGGGAGAAGAAGGGGAAGGGTAGACATTGAGGGGGAGAACGAGGGCTAGGGGGTATGCTGGCAAGTGGTGGCAGTTGTAAAGAAGTGGTTCTTTCCTCTTTTCTCTTCACCTTTCTATTGGTCTGCTTTTATTAATAACTTTTTGTTGATGCTCAGTTTTGAGACTTTTGTATGGTAATTCAGTGATGTGTTAAAATTCAGTACTTCAGCTTTCCTCTAAAACAAGTGCTTCAGCATCATTAGGTTCTGATTTGTTTTTACTTCAGAAGCTCTGCTTGTTTGTAATTTCTAACAATATGGCCATTGTATTTTGATTGGTTTGTTTCTATTATATTGCTTAGAATATATATTGCACAAATAAAATACACAAGGGGTTTAGTTTATTATGTGTTCTATTCCTGATTGAAAGATTTTAATAATCACTCTTACTGCATATTCTTAATAGTCCTATCCTGTTTCTGTTTATTATATAGAAACCAATTGACTACCACAAGTACAGATATTTCTGTCGTGTCCCTGTGCAAGAAACTGAACACAGCTTTCATGTAGGGCTACAGCTATGTTCCAGTGGTCGGCAGAAATTCAACAAACTTGTTTGGATTCATCACTCTTGTCATATTACTTACAAGTAAGTTTAAAGAAACTAGCAGGGAAAACAACAAAAGCATTTGGTTTGGATAAATGAGAGCCTTAGTCCTCTTTTGAAATGGCGTTTACTGATCTTAGTAATACTTAGCAATATTGCAGCCCACAGACTGTCTGGGTGACTTCACATGCTTTTTTCTTTGCTGTCCTAGATGAACCATCTTAGGGAAAAGGCTGAATTGGATGGTTGAAGCTTTTATAGTTCTGTAAGAATTCTGAAATGGGCTGTATTCAAGAAATTAAATAGTTGCTTTCTACCTTATAGTTCTTCTGTCTAGGCATTTATATGTCTCACAGCCACCACAATTTTTTTTTTAAAATTGAAGCATGAATTTCAAATATTTGGGAATGTAGAGAAAGAAGAGAAAAGGCCCAGACAACCTTCTGGCCAAATAAACTTATTTATAAATCTAATAAGTCCAGTTGTATAAGCATAAGTCTTCTTATGTGAGACACATGGACCAACTTAAGCTGACTTCCTGTTCCATTTTCCAGAAGCTGAGCTGACTTTCTGTTTTGTCAAACAGATTTGGCCCCTCAGAGATAATACAGCTGAGGATTGGTTTTTATGCAGTTGTGGTCTGCATGAAAAAATGAAAACAAATAAAATTCTATGTCACAGGAAACTTCTTTGATAGTAAAAACTGAGCTCTGCTGCTTGTAAATTGTGCAATATAAGCAAATTTTCATGATTTCTCTTGGATATAATTTGCAATATTTCAGTACTTTCTATAAGTTATTCTTCTAATCCTGGGGAGGGTATAGGTGTTCTGCAGGACACAGAAGCCCTGTCAACTTCCTTTTAAAATTCTTAGGAATTTCTTTGGCTTCTGAGATCTTGCTAGTTATTGGACCACATACTTTCAGACATACTTTGCAATCCATACAGTATAAAAACTTGCTTTTAAAAAAGAAGTGTTAAGGTTTGAGAGAAAGTTACAATTCTGTAGAACTGTAATATATGCAAAGCCCCTTATTCTGAGTCCATAAGAACATGTGATAGGAAAAGAATTCCAGAAATAATTTAATTCAACCCTCTCCATTTAGGCAGGTATAATTAATTTTTTAATGTCTTGTAGGTCTACTGGTGAAACAGCAGTCTCTTCTTTCGACATTGACAAGATGTACACCCCTTTGTTCTTTGCACGCGTGAAGAGCTTTACTGCATTTTCAGAAAGGCCTCTCTAAGAAGGTCACATCTATTGCATGAAGAAATTACAGCAAACAACACTTAAGTTATAAATGTGTATATATATTTGAATTTTATTTTAAAGTAAGGAATCTTTTTGGAAGAATATATACTGGAAATTCATTTGATTTAAGGTGGCAGGGTTATTTTACTGGTTTTGAAGTCAAGTTTACACATTATTTTAAACTTGTTTCTGTTGTGAAGAGACTTTGATAACATAAAAAGGCATTTTTGCCATGTCATTTTATGAGCAAATTTATAAGCTGTTCTCTTTTCCAGTGTAAGGCTTCATCTGCCTATGCACCTTAAGTTCAGGAATCATTATAAACATACTGCTGTACATAAATCGTGGAGTGTGTGCTTTGGGGGAAGGCTCAAAATGTGAAGAATTTGTCCTACATCTGTGCGTGGCCTAAATACACATTAAAAATGCTTACTTTGAGATACATGTATTTGGGTGGCCTTTAAAGAAGAGGCCTTGACTTAGGTGTAAAGTGCAGCCTGATGAAAAATTAAGCAAAGGCAAGCAAAGTTGGAAGTTCTGCTTCAGGTTTTTAAAGAATCACATTGTTTAATTTAACTGCAATGGTTAAACCAATGGATTTGATATTGCAAATGGCAGAAGATGGAAGGGAAGTCACAAGTTGGACTGGCTGCCTTTGTTGTCTTGATCCAGGAAAGACATTCTGGAGAGATAGCAACTCTTGTATTGTTTGAATTCTGTTATGCAAATGAGAATAGGGCTGTACACAAGTACATTTGTCTTTTCTTCAACTCTTCACCTAACTGCTAAAAAGACTGCACATCCCTCGAGTATGTTGTTACACTAATTTCTGCTTTTTGGGACTCATACAGATGTTCAGGTACTGTGTGCTGCTTCTCCTGTGTATGTACTTGGGGCATTGGATGCAACTGCTGTATGATGCTTATCATTAATATGTACTTTCCATCATAAAACTAAAATTTCTAAATGTTTTTCTTTTGCTCAGTCGTGTAACATTTGTTCTTTCTTTATAATTGAGCACAATCCTTTAAAAGGCTGAATTAAATTAATAAATAATATATCACATGGTTCTTCCAACATGTTCAGGATGAAATGCATTATTCTTCCTCCCTTTCATTCAGACAGCTCTTAAGTCAGTTAGATTTAGAGTGTCTTGATGAAGACCACCCAGTGATGTTCATTGTTGAAGTTCTCTCTGGTCCAGGGTTAGGCATCCTAGTTCCATGAACACCTTCCTTGATGTTGGCTAAAGTACCATGGTTCCTCCCACTTTAAGCAATATAAAACTTATTCTTACTAGCAGCTTGGATAACAGCAGAATAGTTTTCTTAGAGATGAAAACTGTGGGTTCAAATGAATTATTTCAGGTGTTGGGGCTGAGACCTTACCTCTGCCTTGTACTTGGTCTGTTCGGCAATTTACTTATCCTTTTTGTCATGGCAACCAATTTGTCATGATGCCCAGGTCAGTTTCTTGAAGTGTTAAATGTCCCCGGTCCCAAAAAATTGGCCTTTTGCTGCTGTAGTCGTTGTCCACATTTCCTAGTGAGCACACCATTTAAAAACTGAACTAATCACTACCTTATATGTTAAGCTAACAGTCTGTCATTGATAGACACTGGATGGAATTTTCAAAGATACAAGGCCTTCTACCTCTACAGTAAAATCACTGTTACAGGTTTACTTTTGTTTGGTGCTTTTTGTAACACTAATCCTAAATGCACATAAGGGGATATATATTTTGTAATTATAATCTAACCCTGGACTGTTCAGAAAGTCTGGATAGGATCTGAAGGACAACTTTGGTTTACTATTATTGACTAGCAGACTGCTACTCCATATCATAAACAGCTTTTGAAAATTGACTTTGTTTATAAACTGCTTTGTCTCTTTTGTAAGAGGGTGTGTTCAAGAAACACAAGTGCAGAGTCCCCACTGACTAAATTAAATTCACAGTTCTTTGTAGCCAGTAACAAGCCTGACTCTACAGGTTCTGGCACTATTCTGCATGCAACTGCTAGAGTTTTAAGAATTCAGCCCATATAGCATGCACTGGCACATCAATATGGTCAAAGAAAAGTGCCCTGTGCTAATTTACATATCCCATTCATGATACATAGATTCAATCCTGGCAGACAAAGTGCTTAGATTGAAAAAAAAACCTATTATGTGATTTGACTATTTCATTAAGAGGTGCTTTCAGGGTGTGGGTAGGTGGTATTTTAGTTTTATTTCTGTCATGTTTTGCTTTGTTCATTAAAGCTCACTTCCTATAACCATATTGCTGCAAGCGTGCTCTGCTAAATCGAAGGGAGCTTTCTTCTAGGTAGTCATGTATAGGCTCAGTGTCAGTGCAAGGTCCCTTACTGCTGCATACGTTGCCCGCACCTGGTTACTGTTTCCTTTTCCCTCTCTCCCCTCCTCCTGCCACATCTGCCTCACTCCCTTCTGGAGGTAACCTGTACAGCAGGCGATCTTCAGGGACATTCCCCCTGAAATGCTTCGCTCTCAGAAAAGACCTCTTCGTGCCAGGACAGAGATGGCAAAGGGGTGAATAGACTGGTGGTGGCACAGTGTGCTGGCAGGTGATTCTGTCCGTGGTGAGGTGTGCAAATTTCCTGTTACGCCATCTGAGGTGCAGTATTGACCCACCTCATGACAGGACCAGTCATATAGGATTGTGCTTCAATGGCTGCATCCAGACTTGGTCATGCAGTCATTAAGTCATCATTAAGTCACAATTCTCACTTATTTTGGGATCTACTCATATGTATGACTATATATGTATCCAGCCCTAAGCAAGCAAACCCTTTTCCTAGCAAATAGAGAAGTGAAGTGGAAACTTTCCAGTATGAGTGATCTTGCTTTTTAAAGTTGAAGCACTTTCATTTATGCTTTCGTCAAGTACATAACTCAGCAACTAGATCAGATAATTCTAAGGCAAATCAAATAAAAGTAAAGGTTAAACTATCTACAAAAGGAAAGGCTTGGAGTGGATTGAGAATGATTGCTTGCATATTTCCTCCATCAGAACAGATTTTGTTTAAAAAAACAAATCAAACTTTTTTTTCCCTTTCCTGCTTGCTAAACTGTAGTGTCTTGATTTTTCTGTCTTTGTCTCTCTTACCTGCCTCCACTTTAATGGTGAAGTGTACCATTCAAATTTAAATAATATGGACCTAGTCAATTTATATGATACAGTAATTGTAGCTGTTTTAAATGTACTGGAACAAGAAAATATATTTGAAGCCGTGTAGCTTACAGATAGCCTATGTAGCCATGGCAATTGACTGGTCAAATAATTGCCAGAGAATACTTAAATTTACAAGTAATTAAATTTACAAAATGAGCAGAAAGGAGGCTTGCATTAATAACTATTCTCATCTACAAGATTCCAGAGTTCAACTCTAACCAGAAGTTTTGTAGAGTACCATACCAGATCACAAGAAGGCTGCTGTTCTCCAAAGCAAATGCTGCGGTTTATCCTATGTCTTTGGCCCTTGTGATTTGCACAGGGATGCTTACTAAAGATGGACTGGATATTCTGCACCTGACCCACAGGCTCCTCACTTGTGCTACAATTCTTAATACACCAAGAAGTAAGTGAGAGTGAAGTTGCGTATGATAGTACTGTTGCAGTAGCAATGGCCCCTACCAATGGCCTAAAATAAGATGACAGGCAGTATTTGATTTAGGGGAAGAAACTCAAGCTCAACCCACTATCCAGATGGTATGTACAGCATCTGGGTACATGGGCAGGGCAGATGGGCATGTATCTGTGCTTGCTTGAAGGTGGTTAGGGCCTTCCACTGGTTGAGGAACTCAGTGTAATCACAGAGAGGACTCTAAATTGAACACAACAGGATCTGGGTACCTGGGCCTACTGTAAAATTCTACAAGGCAGGGTGATCAGCACCAAGAAGACTCCTCTGGAAGCATCCGGTGATGATTCATTATCTGTGTCTATTCGCCTTATGCTTAGTCTTGAAACCTTAACTGTTGGAATCTCCTGAATCCTGAGATTCCAACAGTTAAGCAAATAGTCACAGTAAGAGAAACTGGGCCACATAGCTGATTGGAAAGAGAAAGGGCAAAAGGTCTCTGGAGAGAGAGTAGCAGGGCTGGAAATGCTTGCTCCTAAATGAGGCCTGTGTGATCCTGACTCCTGTAGGGCTGGGGATCAAGGGACTCTTACTCCTGCCTTTACTATCAGATGACCCTGCAATGCAATAAAAAGGGGGTCACTTCCAAGAACTAGACCTCTTGATAATGCAGAGTGCCATCATTAAAATACTTTGGACTGAGTCTATTTTTAGATTTAGGAATGAGAACCGGGGTGCTGGACAAGTAACTGCAGTAAGAGGTTCCATGGAGTGAATGCTACATTATGTTACTGTTTTAAAGGCAGCATTTGAAGCAATCGATACAAATGCGTTCATTTAAAGTGTTAAACAATTTTCCTCTGTTCATTGCCTTCACTTTTGAAATCAGAGTTTTAAATAATTTAATAGTAGCTGTGGTCATTGAGTTTTATGACACAAGTCGAAGAAAAAGTAAAAGAAGTTGACTTAAGTTTTTAGAATACCTGTCTTAGTAGGATAGAATATAGGTAACCCATAATTTAATACCATATTCTAGTATGGTGGCCTTAGGAAAAGTCTGGTTCTCTTTTATGATAAAAATAAATACTGTGCAATAGTTCATCTGGAGGAAATAAACTAGTTAATGGACTGTAGAATTTATTGTCATCTTGAGAATGTAGCCATGGGGCTGTTAAGCTATGTCCGGATTAAGCTTTTATCCCATGAAACTGCCTGGAAAATTACAATTATATTTTATTAATGTACCTTTTGAAAGGTGGAGGGGGGTGACATTAAAATGAGGCTTTAGCAGCACATACTGTAAAATGTACTTTTGAGCTTGTTAGAAAATCCTAGACTACAGGTTGGCAGCTAGATCTGATAAGAGTGCCAAGATTATAATGGAATAGGACCGGAGGGCTGAGGTTTCACAGCTGCAAATAGGCCTACTATAAAGATCCACAGCTGTGGATTCTTTCCATCCACACCGTTGCTTTGCACCTCAGCTTGACAACAGGGCCCGCCTATCTCATTGAGGGACTTCACTGAGGTATTGCCTGTTACCAACCCTTATTCTAGACTTGTGGGTCATGTTTTCTATTAATCCTTTGCCTCAAACCCAACATCCATGGGACTGAAAGTAACTGGGTGATGTGAGCAGACTCCATCTGAACAAGCTCAAGATAAGTAAGACAGTCCTGAAAGGGGATCATTTTTGCAATGTGAATGGTTAAATTTTAAGAAAAATGAATGTCTGATCTGTTAAGAAAAGATGTTTCATTTATAACTATGCAGTAAAATGAATTATAACATCTTAAAGGCCAAGGCTTAAATCCAGGCTTAAATCGCTCCATCCTCCCCACTCCAGCACTCTCTGCCATCTGATAATCTTGTGACTTGTGTGTGTTCAGCTGAAATGAAAATAAGCATTGGTTTGCCATACACAAGGCTCTTACGTGCTATTTGCAACTAGACAAGAAGGTGAGAAGGTGTGATTTGACCCAAAAGCATGATTTAACCTATCATTAAATTATGTCTTATTAACATACATAACAATATGTAACAAAATCTATCAAGGTGGTGTGTGCAACAGTTTAACACTAATAATGATAATAAAAAGCAGTAAAATATGCCAATAATTTTTAGTGTCAGAGACAACTTGATGGCAGATAACACACACACACACATGCTCGCTCGCTCGCTCCCCGACTCCCAAATCCTCCCCTTTATGTCTTCTGGTCAAAGGAACTCACAACATAAACAAGCCATCTCAACAAAGAAAAAAATGACAAGTTAAAAGACAGAAGTTCAGCAGCTAAAATGGGTGCTTATTACATACAGGAAAATAACTTAAGCTAATATGAGCAGGCCAGAAGCCTGCCAAAAAGGAAGGATAATAGAAAACTCTGCTGGGGAGGCAGTTCAGAGCAGCCTCCCTATCATAGGGACTCGTTCAACTTCCCTCTGACATCTCCAGAAACTGCAAACTATACTCTTTTGTGCATGCCTCTCATGTATGCCCACAGAACTCCTCCATGCAATTTGGATCCTTTCCCAGTAAGATGCCACCTTTTATGGAGAATTTCTACAGTGATTTTATCACAGATTTGCTACCTCCAGGTTCTTCCAGATTAGGCTTTTACTCCATGGGTTACAAAACTGAATTTCTTCATCGTGGCCTCTGTGCATCACACATATGGGTGCTGTGCCTGTGCAGTGCCTTTGGCCGGAACATTGATAGCTAATGGTTTTTTGGCGGGAAGCTCCGCTCCCCCTCCCCCCCATAGCCTATACAGAGTGGAGCGTCTGCCATTTTGTTCAGTCCAAAACTGAATATATTAGCCAAAGTCTGTACCAAAATGTCTGTACTAGGAGAAATGTCTGTACTAATCTGTACAAAAATAGGAAATATATAAACAGGACTTAAACCTGGAAGAAGTCAGACCTCATCTAGGATACTGTGTCCAGTTCTGGACACCAAGATTTTAAAGAGATGCAGACTAATAAGAGATCCAGAGGACGGCAACAAGAATGATCCAGAGTTTGGAAACACTGCTCTGTAAGGAGAGACTGAGAGTACCGGGTTTGTTAAGCCTTGAGAAGAGAAGACTGAGCAAGGGCATGATATCCCTTTATACGCACCTCAAAGGCTGTCACGGGGAGGAAGGTCAAGATCTCTTCTCAGTGATACCAGAGTCTAGGACACAGAATAATCAGCTCAAGTTGCAGCAACCCAGATTCAGGCTAAATATCGGGAAAAGCTTCCTCAACAGCAGTAAACAGCAGGGGTTGGACCTGATGGCCTTCATGGCCCCTTCCAACTCTACTATTCTATGATATTATGAAAAATAAACTGGGAAATTAAACTGAAAGATTCATCCATCCCTACCAGCTAATGCATGATGAAGCAGTAGTTGAGGCAACAACCCTATAGACACCCTTTTGGGCGTGAATTCCCTTGTACACAGGGAGGCTTCGAAGTCATCCATAAAACGGCACTTTCAGTCATTTGGCTAATGAAGGGACCTTATGGAGTTACTTAAATTTATGAGTGCTTTGAAAGAAAAGGACAAAAGAAAATCTGTCCTTGTTTGTTTATTGGTACTAAGTAAGTTGCCTTTGGCTTGTAGATTGCTGCTAAGTAGATTGCAGGGAGGGGTACATACACTGGTTACATATCTCCACTGGGAGAAGTTTAT